TTTTTTTTTTTTTTTTTTTTTTTTTTTTTTTTTTTTTGGAAAGGATCTATTTATAGATAATGGAAAACTCTTAATACCATTAGTATAGCATTGTCCATTATCAAATATAAACTTACTTTGGCAGTCATTGTCTTCATGTCTATTTAGCACACATCTGGTAACTTAGTGGAAGTTGCATCCTCCACAGAGGTTTCACGGAAAAAAGAGTCTGCAGACAGTATTGAGGCAGTGCTTCCTAAAAGGAGCAGGCAGTCCTGTAAATTCCAGTCTCCAGAGAGATTGTCGGAGAGTGAAAGTCAAATAGAACAAGAGGAAGATTCTCAGCCTCTTTATGCTCAGGAGAAGACCTCAGACAAACTGATAAGGTGAAGTAACTAAGGGTTTAATAATGATACTAGCCCAACTAAGATCCCATAGTTAAGTTTCTCACTTTTTCTGTCTGCCCACTCTTCTGATGTGGGGTGGATGGGGGTGTGTGGGCATGCACAGATGTTATTCCCCAGATGTTTTTTCATGGATGGAATTCTCATCTTAAAACTCTTGACCACTTCTGTCACCCATCTGTACTTGAGTCTTTCTCCTGCAAAGTCAGTGTGGAGAATAGGCTCTTTCTTGACTAAGCTGCCTGCTGAAGGGTTCACAGATTGTAAAATACACATGCGTGCACGCACTCTTGATTCTCCACAATAAAAAGAAACAATCCCCTCCTCGCTATTGCCATAAATTACCAGGTCCTTTAAATTTCACTGCACAGCAGTTTTCCAGAATTTCTGACTGAAGTTAAAAGATAAGGAAACTAATTATATCCACAATACAATATCAGTACTTTGAACATTCACAAAGGAATGGGAATGCTGACCAAGGGAAGTACTGATTTTATTTTTCCCAGTGTATGATCGTAATTAATTATCATGTCTCAACACTTATCATAATCCCAATTACCACGTGAGTTCACTGCGACTTTAACATTAATTCCTTTTAATGTTTAATATTGCTACTTTACTAAAAAGTGAATTTCTTTTTTTATATCCATTTAGAAGGCAGCCTAGAAGGTCATCCGAACAGGCAGGCCTGTCAAAACGTGTATCTGAGCTAAGAACTTCTTCTGCCTCTGAATGTGAAGTTGATCGCTGTGAAAAGGGAAAACCACGTCGAAAGATTAAACCAAATATCACCAAAGGCAAAGGCTTGAAAACGGCCCACAGCAAGAGATCTGGGAAAGAACATGGGAGTTCAAAGGTAACCTTGGTGACCCTCCGAGCTTCTCAGGAGGAGGATGAAGATGATGCAGATGAATTTGAGCTGGATGATGAAGATGAATGTTTTTCACCAGAAGAAGTAAACAAAGCTCCAGTGTTTGTTCCTGTAGGTCTTCGATCTCCAAAACCTATTCCTGTCCAGATTGAGGAAACCATGGAAGAGGTATGACATGTTGACTTGTTTTGTAGAGTTCTGGTGTTTTGGAGTGTAGTCTTTCCTTTTGCCACCAGCTTTTCTCACACTTGCCTTCGCTTGAGTTGTAGTACCAATAGCAAATTTATTTTACAGACATGTTGTGGGTCAGCAGTTTTTCTGTTTTGTTTAATTGACAAATGAACTGGTGGTGGAGTGGCATTAATATTTGTGGCATGTGTTCTTGGTTCTGGACGAGATGCACAGGCTGCTCAAGGAACTTAGCCTAAAGCCCCGTCCTGCAATGAGTATTGTGTGGGAGGCTCTGGGTGAGTCCCGTTTCATTCAATTGGGCTCTCTGTGAGCACAGGAATCCACCTTTGCAGAGTACATTGCAAGCTTGCGGCCTAAGACAGAATGGATGCAAACATTTCAATTTCATGTTTGAGTGTCAGAATCAGAGCAACCTGTGTTCTTCTGATTGCTCTCTCAAGAAACATACCTGACCATAACAATCTTGTCTCATGACATTATACATATTTACATTCTAATTAATGTGTGTATTGCACTAAAAAAAACCTGTTAAAAGAATGTTAAGGTTGCAAAGTGAAGCACCCAAAATTAGAAAATGCTAGAATTAAAGTTGCCTGTGCAGTCTGAATTTGGGCCCCTTGAGTAAGTTCACCATAATCATCTTTAATTACATGACCACATATTATTATTTTTTCTAGGCTTTTTAAAAAAAACCCACAGAAAACAAATTCTATCATGTCAAACCATTGACACTCACATGGGTTGGAACCTTTAGAGCTACATCATAACTCTCTGCCACTTGAACTAAGAGTAACTGGTAGCAGTAGTAATCTGTCATTCTCTGCGGACCAACCACTAGAGGGAGATGAGACAGAGAGACACTTTGTCACTGGGTTTCACGTGTACTTACTGACATCAGAAGAATGTTGAGACTCAAGAATCTTTTTGGTTCCATTCTAGGTTCTGGAGGGAAGTGTGCTCCAGTGGTCATGGACCTTTCTGTCCCACTCCCTCATTGACCCCTTCTAGTTTGTCCCTTCCACCCTGTCCTTATCTCAGTCCCGTTTCTCCTCCTCCCCTGGCTCTTCATCCTAGTTTTTTTGCTCAGTTTCCTGTCTTGCTCCCTTGCTCCTTGTCCTGGTCCCAGGTTCCTTGCCCAGCCACTCCCAGACTTGACCCCAGCTCCTTCTCCCAGTCAGTCATCTTTCCACCACAGCTGCCAATTGTTTTGCTCTGCAAGTCAAGTCTTCTTCCTTCTTCTCCTCACTTCTTTGGCTTCTTGCACCCCCACCCTCCTTCCAAAAAAATGAAAACAGACCCACAGAAAATAAACCACCACTCTGACTCTTGTTCCCTTTGCATTCAAGTCAGACTGTTTCCTTCTCCAAGTTGCCTGGGAGTAGGAGCAGTAAGAGCATAGGAGAGACTCTCTTAGCTCTCAGTTGTGTAGCCCAGAGAAGCAATTGCAGAGAGAGCCCTGCTCAGTCCCTGCAACACTGGGCTGGAGCATTCTCAGCTGCTTTGTGGGGATGGTGGATGCATGGTCCGGTTGGCGCACAAGAACTCTGAGGGAATGGAGCATGCTCAGTGCAGACAGAACAATTCAGAGAAATTAGCTGCCAGATTCTAGCAAGTGTCTACTGAGCCTGTGCAGATGGAAATTTTTCTTAAGTTTATAGCTTGGCCAAATTGAGTAGGTTTTCAGTACAACAGCAAAAAGCCTTTCCTTGACTCAAAGGCAGTCCTTGCCAAATTTCAAATCCCTGCTTCAAAGTGTGGAGGTATAAGAGCTTCTCAACAAAATGGTTATTTTTTTTAACCGGTCAAAACTGTGTTTTTCCCAAATCTCATTCTCTGAAATGTCTGAATTATTTTTGCTGAAACTTGTAAAATCTAAATAAATTTCAGCCTGGGGCAGGCACCTAGCATGGAAAATTTCATCTGGAACAATTAAGTTTAGCAGAGTTATAAGCCACTGAAAACCGGGTCTTATAATGGGAAATTTTGGATAGCCTTAATAATAGGCGGTTCTACCAGCTCCACCTCTAATACATAGTACTGTTGCCCCTTATCAACTCAAGTAACTAGTCAAACTTTTGGGGCCCTGAGAATGTTCCATTTTGGAGTAGAAATTGGTTTTGGGTATTTTTTTATGCATTTTTGTTTATTTACAGAAAATGCACAAATTACTGTTTCTCTGAACACAGAAGGAACCAAGAACAAAATAAGTAGTTCCTTAGGCTTTGTCTACACTACTGCTTTTGTCAGCAAAACTTTTGTTGGTCAGGGGTGTGAAAAAACTGACTGACATAAGTTACACCAACAAAACTGCCAGTGTGGAAAGTACTGTGTTGGTGGGAGATGCTCTCCAGCCGCCATAGCTACCGCCTCTTGTTGGGGGTGGTTTAATTATGACAATGGGAGAGCACTCTCCCGCTGGCATAGAGCAGCTACACAGGAGACCTTATGCCGATGCAGCTGCAGTGGTACAGCTGTCTGCTGTAAGGTCCGTAGCATAGACATAACCATAGTTTACAGCCGCAAGCCTCTTTAGCCAACGCCAGACCCAAAAGTGCTCTCTCTAGTGTTTCCCAGTCTCACTGTGCTTACGGGCTGCTGCTTGTCTGTGTCCCTCTCCACCCCCCCTTTGGGTTTTCTTGCCTGTTCTCAGGCCTTGTCTACACTGCCACTTACAGCTCTGAATCTTTCTTTGCTTAGGGGTGTGAAAAAACACACCCCTGAGCAATGCAAGTTTCAGCACTGTAAAGTGGCAGTGTAGATAGTGCTACAGTGCTGGGAGCTGTGCTCCTTGTGCTGGTGGCTATTCCCCTCGTGGGGGTGGTCTCTCTCAGTGCTGGAGCCGCGACTATCCAGCCACGTTCAGGCGCTTCCACGGTAGTGCTTTAACATCGGCTGTGTAGACATACCCTCAGTTTCTGTGCGTTCTGCCTTTCCACCACCCCATCTCACCCACCCACCTGGACACAATGCCCAGTGGAACCCCCCTTGCCCACATGGTGCTTGTTTCTATTAGGCCTTGTTGTAGGTGTGGTCCCGTAGTTGTAAGAAACACTTATCTTAAGTGAAGAGTGGGTGCACACATCAGTTTCGACAAATGTTTTAACTCAGTCCATAACAAGGTTTCGTCCAGCTCATAACAGTATTTTTCCCTTTCAAGTCAACTGGTAAATTCCAGCGGGTTAGGAATTTTTCAACTAAATGTTTTTTGTTGTTGTTGTTGTAAAATGCTGATTTGTCGGAACTGAAACTTTTTGAGGAATCGTATTCGTTTTGGGAAAACTTTTTTGTCAGGAAGGTTTCTCAGCTGCAGGATTAGTGAGAGAGAACACCCCCTGAATAGCCTAATTCAGAGCAGGGTCTGGAACCTGTGTCTCCTACATCCATATTTAATATGTTGTCGAGTTCAAGTCCATGCACTGAATTTTTGGGCAGTCTGAATTGATTCAGATCAGGGACTTGAACTTGGTACTCACCTGGGATGTGGGTTTCCTCTTGATCTTTTTTTATTCCATATACATTCTAACATCCTTTGTATTCCTGCTAGGGTTTTATCTGAGATAATCTCAGAAAGATTTTGAAACAAGAAAGAGACTATTGGCAAAATGTTCATTTTCACTCTGGCTGTTTTTCCCAACCAAGAAATTGTATACTTACACCAGCATCCCAGATCCTTTGTCATTTGCTGATGTTGTGATTTGACATTAAAATCATAGAGCTCTTCTAGGTTATTTGAGATTTGAATTCACAGGTATCTTATAGAATTTGTTGCCCATTTGTACCCAAGTGTTTTCTGGAGGAATGACTTTTCAGAGCCTGGCAAATTTGCAGCTAGCATTTCAGGTTTGGCATAATTTACTTTAAATCCAGACACTTTCCCAAAATCATAGATTACTTTAGATACTAATTTTAATATTTGGTTTAGAAGAAAATAGTATTATATCATGTGCATATACAGCCATTTTCTTGTGTTCCTGCAAGTTTTAGACAGCTTTCTTTTTTTAATAAATAGGAATAACTTTGATTTTTGCAGCTTGAAATATCTGTGAATGTCCCAGATGTGCCCTGCATTACTACTGCTGAATATCTGTCTCATGATTTAAATGTGGTTGTCCAGCCTGTGATGCAGAGAGATGAAAATCTGAATGCCTCACAAATTGTAAGCATTCCTTTTTAGTAATATGCTTAAGGTTATATAGTATGTTTAATTTTTATAGTGTTAAACATCAGAGCACACGTAAGATAGTAATAGTATGGCATAGTATAGTTTAATAGACGGGCATGGCATGAGCAGGAAGTGTGCAAGTTTTCTTTAGATGGCTTTGTCAGTCCAATGTTGATGCTGTACAACCCCATTCAATCAGAGCAGATTGCTCATGCTGAACTTTGCAGTTGAGAATTGGCCACTGGGGACTAAGTTAACATTGAAGATTAATTTTATTTGGGATTTTGGCTGTATTTGACAGATCATTTATATCTTTTCTTCAAGGAAGTGACTACACATGAAAATCCAGAGACTGACACAGGTAAATACAAGAGACACTTATTTTTGGAGACAAGAGACACTTATTTTCTCTTTCTCCAAAGAGAAACTGCTGAGCTCCAGTTCATTTGCAAATTTGACACCATCAGATCAGGATTAAACAAAGACTGTGAATGGCTATCCAACTACAGAAGCAGTTTCTCCTCCCTTGGTGTTCACACCTCAACTGCTAGCAGAGCACCTCGCCCTCCCTGGTTGAACTAACCTCGTTATCTCCATACTGATTTATACCTGCCTCTGGAGATTTCCATTACTTGCATCTGAAGAAGTGAGGTTCTTACCTACGAAAGCTTATGCTCCCAATACTTCTGTTAGTTTCAAAGGTGCCACAGGACCCTCTGTTGCTTTTTACAGATTCAGACTAACACGGCTACCCCTCTGATACTTATTTTTGGGTGGCCCTCTGTCTTAACATAGACCAAGCCAGCCAACCGTGAGTTGATGAGGTCTTATACATAGTTTTGGAGGAACTGTGCTAACTGACTACTTCTTCAGTGAGGTCCATCAGACAAACCAAGAGTTACAAGGCTGTTGGCTTACATCCAGATTGTGGCTGTCCTGTGCCCACTCACTCCCATGCACTGATTACCCATGCTGTTGGTAGCTGTGCTAGGGGAAAAGCAACCTTTTCAGGGGCTTGAAACAATGCCTGGAAGGTACGGAAATGGGCAAATCTATGGCTCTGGTACCAATCACCATCACTCTCGCAGACTTGCCAGCCAGCACATACTATGGGGGAAACAGGGAAACATCATGACTGAGTCAGAAATTGCTTCCTGGTCTGCTCCTAGAACAGTAAAATATTTTTTTCCCATTGCAAAAAGCCCCAAATGGATCCATTGGTTTTTAGAATTGCATTTTGAAACTTTGCTAAGAGATGGCTTTGTTTAAAGATAAATAACCATTTTCAGTGAAGAGGCAAAACCCTACTGGAGTTTATGGGCTTATTTCAGTATGATGGCTTTGGAACGCAGAAATGTTGTATCCTATGTTACCAAGTAGTGGAAGATGAAAGAAGGGAGGTACTGTCATCCAGTGGATAGGACACAGAAATTAGTCATAAGACCTGGGTCTAGACCCAAACATCTGTGTGACCTGAGCAAATTGCTTCCTCTGTCCATGTTTCCCTCTCTATAAAATGGGAATACTGCTGCTTACTCAATGTTTGTAGAACACCTTTAGTTTAATGGATGACCATCACTATGTGTGTTAAGTATTGCTACTAATATCTGGAATCCCCAAGAGGAAACAAATTGAAAAAATATGTTTTGTTTCAATTTAGCAAAGACAGTAACATCTGCTTTTTGATCATGTTTTAGTTAAACTTCTAAGGAAATGACTTTGCTTGTGATTTTACATGTATGTGAACAATTTTGCAGGGATTAATGATGGAAGCACTGAAGCTGCCATGACATTACTTGCAATGGGAGATCCAATGTTTCAGTTAAAAATAAGCACTCAAGGTATGATCTATTTATTTGCCAAATCCTTCTGTGTGTGTCTTGGGTTCACTTGTGGGTTGGGGTTTGGGTAGAGGTCATAATAACCCTTCCTTCATATCCTGTCACTATAGCAGCAGGTCTGGATTCTTCCTTAGTGTTCAGTATGAAAGACAGGAGGATGTATTGGGCCATGATTCACTATCTAGCAAGGTAAAGTGGTCCAGCCCCTAGCCAAAATACTGCCAACTGCATTACATGCTCGCCAGAAGTGCGTAGAGCTCTTTTTCAGCGAAACACTGATATGTATCTCATCACATGGAATACATGCCCTGATCAACTCATTTCATACCGGCAGTATGACTCTTGAACATAATGGGCATTCAGCACCTTTTTTTCTCTGCTGTCCTCTGTTTGTACCACTAAGAAGGATTTTGCAGGTGTGTATGTGGATATGTTCACTGCTATGTATTACAGTTACTTCAGACTCAGGCTAATAAAGTACTCATGCCACCATACACCCAGATGAATCATTTTATGATTTAAAAATTTAAGTCTAGGTCATTTTATTGTCTTACCTTTTCTGAGATAGATCCAGAACTTGTTCTCAGGTTTGGTCTCTTGCTTAGAGTTAGCAGCAGTTGGCAATACTGCAGAGGAGGAGTGGGGGAGCAGAATCAAAAAAAACATTTTTTTAAAAAGAAGCCAGTATAGATGGCAACACCACTGCCACCCATATTGAAAGAACTGTTGCAGCACTATGTAACCGTCACTGGTAGCCAGGGGGCGGAGGAAGTAAATTAATTTTCACTTCAGCCTTCAGCTCTTCATAGAGGTTCAATTGGCTGCTGAAGCTTTAGGAAAATTCTTACTGAATTCTTACTGTTCTTACATTTTATCCATTGAAAGATCAGTTATTAGTTCTTTCTTTGATAGGACACTCAGGTTGTTCACCTAAGTGTTTTTGTTAATTTTTAAAACAAAATTGTACAAAAAACAAATGGTGATTCAAAGGTTGAAGATTTGGTATCCTCATCCAGTCTCTTTTGGGAGATGAAACTTGATCTATTAAAAGCATTTTAATGAGAGGTTTGTTTGTTTTTTTTAAAGTATTAAACTAGTACTAAGATTATTTTCATTATCCCTGAATCCCCAAAACCTGGTTATGCTCAGTAGTGTGATTGGCGCAGCTGAGACATAAATATCAAGTCACTCTATACCCTGGAGAGCTTATACTCTAGAAAATAAACCTGGAAAGACAAGATATGCTAGAGGAGATCCAGAAAAAGCATTAGCCCCCTAGATTTTTGTATTGTGATTCTTTTTGTGTTTTGTGTAGGTCTTACAGAGACTAGTGTCTCATGAGTCAGACCAGTGGAGAAGAGCCAGGCTTATGTGGTCCATAGTAGTCCATCATCTGTTTTGTCTTACTACTTTAACCAGAAAAATTGTTTTCCATTCTGTTTAGTTATACTGTTAAATCATTGTTTATTAACCTGGCATTAGGTTGACTTTTAACATATGTAGAGGTAATCCCTGCACTCTAACCAACAAAAAATCTAGACTTCAAGATGTGCTTTTACCCAGGATTTGAATTTGTATCTCTGTAGAATGCCGTTATTCAAAATGAGGCCTATGGTTGATCTACCTGTAAATGGCTTCATGTGGAGACATAAAACTTGCATCTTTTTAATTATGCCTTTATTTTTAAACAAGGAAGGACACAGGTGTTTCCTGATCAAGATGAATTGCACGTGGCTGATAGCCTCATAAACCAGCCTAATACAGAGCAAAATGCGGCCCCAAGTAATCAGTCACTTTCTTCACCTACTAATAATGAACTGGTTCCCTCAGAGGATGGAAACAAAGTCATTCTACAGGACCAAAGTTCTGGAAAAGAAGCAAGTGTAGAAATTTTTTTTAAGGAAGATGCTGCACCCAGCAGGTTAATTTCACTGTTTTTCTTTAATCTTCCCCCCCAGTGATCCATTCTCTGACAGGGCTCCCCTTTAAGGCTTCTGCCACCATACTTTTAGGTTGACAGGTAGTCTTGTTTTAGCTATTACAGCTCATAGGTTATGTAGTTCCACTTCATATGGATGCCTGTCCTTTTTTCTTCCCTTTTAAATAGGGACTTTATGTTTAGGTTAAAATAGGAGTGATGGAAATGTACAACTTCCAATTCCTGAATCCCCATTTTAAAATAAGGATATGCTTGAAAAAATGAATTTTAAAACTTACCTCACATGTCTGGCCATTATTTTATCTGGCCTTTTTTTCTGAAGACTTTGTGTCACTGGTCAGACAAAGGCCAGTGGTTTAAATTTCATTGCTTCCTGTCACTTGTCATGCAGCTTAAAGGCTTTCAGGTGGCCACTGTACATCTATAACTAATAGCAAAAAAGGCTTCTGCCATAGCTAGAGCATGTGGCTCTGCTCTGCTTTCTGTTGTGGAATATTGTTTAAAGATGAACTTCAAGTTCATGAAGTAACTCAATGAACTTATTTTCAAAATGCAATTGGTAATCATGTCAACTTGTTTAGAAAGTTCATTTTTTTTAGCTGCTTGCAAAAATGATCAAACGTAGGTTCCCTGCAAAAGTTTAAGATCTTTACATTGAAGCAAAACCTGACAGTGCTAATGTGTAACTTCACCTGCTTGTTTTAACCCAAATTGACCCCTCCAAAAATCAACCCCCAAACCTTCAAAATTAGATGACCTACTTCTACTTTAAGGTTAAATTTAATCAAAATATTACATTTTTTAAAGATTTCGGTTGCAGAGTTAAAATTCTGAGTTACCTAGCTGCTGTAAACCTACTTGTTCTGGTCCTTGTTGGTCACTATGATTACAGCTGTACTCAGGCTCCAGTCACTCAAAGTTCTCCCAGTTCAACTGGTCTTTCTGCTTCTCTTCTTCCTGCCAGCCTGTTCATTTTTCCTGCTAACTCCATCACTACTCTTGTTCATCGGCCCAACTGCCTCCCCTCCTCCCCTCCCCCCCACCATTACGGCCCTCATTGCTGGTATTAATTTCTTCTTGACACTGAATTCAAACACATTAAAGAATGGAAAGGTTAAGTTACATTTTATGGTGTTTTTCTATTTCTTTGTAGTGATCACCCTGTGCCCAAAGTGAATAGTACACCAAGGTTTGCAAGATGCAGACTTCCTAAGCCTAAACCAAATCTTAGCAGAGTACTGGGAACAAACAGGAATGTTCATCAGAAATCTCTTAGTCCAAATGCCGATGTGGAGCAATTCAAGCAGGTTCAAAGTGGTGAGCTTCTCCTTTATTTCCAAGCTTTAGAAAATAGGAGCCTAAAGTTAGGCTCCTAAATATGGAATTAGGAGTAGATCTGGGTGAATCACCTTTTTTGATAGGCTGGCATATCTGAAAAATTGGATAAAAAATTGTGGGTCAAATCAAATCCAAAAATTTCAGTGAATCAAAAATTAGTTTGAGTTCTAATGAAACAACGTATTTACAGGCATTTTTAAAAGGTGAGGAGGCAGCAGCCTTATAACTTTTAGCCCAGTGGTTAGGGCATTCACCTGGGAGAGAGGAGACCTGGATTTAACTCCAGCTTCAGAGTTTGGATTTGAACCTGACTCTCTCCCATGCCAAGAGAGGTCCCTTAACCACAAAGCTGTAGGGTATTCTGGGGTGGATTTGTCTCCATCTCTTCCTTTGAAGCTGTTCCATGTTGTAAAAACTACCTTAATAGGCATTGGGCCAGACAGAGTGGGTAAGAATAACTCTGCAGCCTGATGGTTAGGGCACTGATGTGGGAGACATAGGTTTGAATCCATGCTCTGAATCAGGGACTTGAACCCAGGTCTCCCTTCACCCAGGTGAGTTCCAGAATCCATCGGGCTAAAAGTCAGAAGGTGGCTTTCTCCTCCTTCAGTCATTTTGACTCATTCCAAATTTTTATTTCTGGATAAAACTATTTGGCACATTCATGGCAAATTTGCAAATTGTTTCAGATCAATTGAAACTGCATTTTTAAACTATTTGTCTGAAATATTTTGCCCAACTCTACTTAAGAGCCTAACTTTTTAGGTGTCTCTTTTTCTGAAAATCTTGGCCATACAACTAAAACAAATTGAAAACTCAGCTTCCTGTTCATGTCTACAGGCATGCATCAACATTTCAACTGCAGAGTGTCCAACTATTAAATTCCATACCTGTCTCCTGTTCTTGTATCTCTTCTTTAAGTGTAACTATATTTGTCTTTGTAGTATTTTTGTAAGTAGTCCCATAAGCTAATGCATACATGGTAGTGTAAAGCATTCAAACAGTAAGTCTTCTTGCTGTTGGTAGCAAAATATTACACACAATAATGAACATGATTTAATTTAATTTTTAAAATCTTAGAGAGGAAAGCTCTAAGAGAGACCATAGAAGAGCAAGACGTAGATTTAGAATGGAAGGTCAGACCAGCTGAGAACAGTTCTGCAGATCTGCAGAATTTTGGATCTGGAAGCACAGACCTTGCCGAGTAAGTAGATAAAGTTAACATATGAAAAAATCCTTTATTCATATACTAATTGGTATGTGTCTTAAATGTTTTGGACTAAATTTTCAAAAATGTGAATTTCAAATGGATGCATAACACAGGGAGATGTACGTACAAATATACATTTAAATTGTGGGAAACTGGCAATGGTGTCTGCAGTTGTTTTGGATGCACGACTTTAGTTCCACAGTGTGGCAGGGGGTTTTTGGGTGGGTTTTTTTTTTAAAGGCCTTTATGTACTGAATATCCTTTATGTAAGGCTAATGGAATCAAAACTTTTATTTGTATGTTTGGCAGAGTAGCCACTATTGAGTTCCAGAAACTGAGAAAGCAACTAGGTCCATTTTTCTGATAGATACTTCGGATGAAATTTATGGAGGTCATGGTTCATCTGTGGGCTGTTTGACTGTGCTTGCAGCTAATGTCTCACTTTGGATGCCTTGTGAGACTGAGCTAGGAGAGGTTTTGTCAAATAAGGCATTCCCTAAAATATTTTACTCTTAGGAGATTTCTGTGGAGATTTTTAATATTTTTCCTTAATAGAGGAATCTATTTATGGTATAAAGTGTTTGTTTTTTTGTATGATTTGTTTTACTTTTTGCATAAAGGAAATATTTCAGCACACAGTAGCCATAACAGCCTTGCGGACTGCCTGATTTACCCCATGTCACAGTATATGTTACATATTCTTTAATTGGTTTCAAATTAACTGTATACATTTTTCAGGACAGAAAACAAGACAAGAGAGACTTGGGAAGCTTCAGTGGAGTTAAAAACTCCTATAATATCTCCAAAAGCAGAGATTTTCCTACCTGGGCTAGAGAATGATCCTAATCAAAGTTCTACTGGTGTCCTTCCTGAAAATAAGCCTGGTACTGTTATGCACAGCTTGCATGAAGTTCAGTTGACACAGGTAAAAAGAACTTGTATTTTTTAAAACATGTGATGTATTAGAAATGCCTGTTTTTGTAAGAGGCTGTAAAAAGAGAAGTTATTTGGAGAAACTATAAAGAAGGCAATGACTTTTTTTTTAAGTTTTCATCCTTTCTGGGTAACTAAGTGAAATTTAATGGCCTGTGGTATTCAGGAGGTCAGTTTAGATGAACTAATGGTCCCTTCTGGCCTAAAAAAATTCTATGAATCTTAAATCACTTTTTCTTGATCGGATAATTTAGCCCTGAACTACCATAATATGCACATACATAGCATAGATATGCAATGTTGGGATTTGCATGCATCCATAGATATGTCCACACAAATAACCCAAATTGTGCTCCCCCTTTGAGGTGTGCATGGTTAAGTTGTGCACATTTGATTCTTTAGCCTTAGATTGTACTTTTAGTTTTGCCAAAATGCTATTATGATCAGACTTGCATTTCTATACCTACTTTCTCTCATTTTATTAAAAATTATTATTGGCCTTTTTCTGGCAGAATTTTGATTGACAAGGTGGGTGAGGTAATATCTTTTATTGGACCAACTTCTGTTGGAGAGGGAGACAAACATTCAAGCTTACACAGAGCTTTTCTTCAGGTCAACTTGTCTGTCTCACCAACAGAATTTGGTCCAATAAAGATATTCCTTCCCCCATCTTGTCTCTTTAATATCCTGGAACCAACATGGCTTCAACAACACTGCATACAAGCTTTTAGATTGTACTTTCATGCTATTAATTGTCTAACAATTAACAAACAAATGAAAAAAACAAAAACCTCCTAGTTATTCTTAGTTTCTTAAACCTTTTTACTTTGGTTATTGAATATACAGTACTTCAATCTAATGAAGGGCATTTTAGAGATCCAGTAAATTGCCAAGCTCTTGACTTCCTTCTTGATGCTAGCAGGGACTAAATTATCACAGCTCTTTTGCTTTGCCCTTTGCCAGTTGGTTCAGAGCTCAGCTGACAAGTGGAACCAAGTGCAGGACTGAATGTGCCCTCACAACACTCCTCCCCCATCAAGAGTGCTATAAAAACTATTTTTTAGCAACATAATCTGCCATGAAAGGGAAGGGGAAGGAGGAAGAGTGACTAAGCTCAATGTTTTTCTCCAAGCTCCAGAGTGTTTCCGTAATAGGTAGGGGAATTGATGCTCTTTGCACTGCTGAGCAATCCATTATATGAGTCAGCTTTGCAGGGTTGTGCTGTAGGAAAAGTAAACTTTTTTTTTTTTTAAACAAACCATTTCTAGAGGGAATGAAGATAAAGTACATATAAGCAGAACACACAATAATGCTTATAGTTAAATTACCCAAATGTTTCCAGTCCCCATCATCTTTATATCCTTCCATCCTAAATACTCAGCATAGTTTAGAAAAAAAAATCAACACAATCTGGATAGGGTGTGGTTAAATTACTCTGCATTGTTACTCTAACACTTGATAAGTATTTACAAAACAAAAGTCAAGAATTTTTCATAAAACTTTTGTTCTGTTTTCTAGAGTTGTTCACCAGGCTTGTTAATATTTCTTTTGAAATACTTTTTCTAGGCTGAGGCAGTTACACAGGAGTTTCAACAGCAATACATAACCAGCACAAAAGAAACTTCAGGTACAGTACATGAATGGCCTAAAATAGCAAAGCAATACTTGCTAGCCCAGCTAGGTGTAATATTAAGTCACTGTGTCTCAGAACTGCTTTTCATAATTTTTTTTTCATTTGTGTGTATGTGTGTGTAAGTAAAAATAAAATGAAAACAAAATTAGTATGGTAGAAGTACTCGTGCAAAGATGGATCAAGAAATTAAGAACTTTCTATGATAACATTGATGTAATTGATCTTTTATGATTTGATATTAAAGTAGCTTGTGTTAGTGATGTGCAGATAATTGATTTTTTTTTGCTATTGTATATTTAAATTCATGCCACAAGTCACTGAAGAGACTTAAGTTTTGAAGCATTTTTAGATGTTGCCTCAGCAAGCTTACATATTTGAATGCAGCAGAAGATATTAAGTGGATAGAACAAACTAAGATGAATAAAAACAAAATTCAGAACCAGTACAGTTTAAATAAGAAAAAAAAATCTCTGAATTAGAAATCTGAGACACTTACTTTAAAGGAATTAGTCTCACTGCTAAGGTTGTAATTTACACTTTCAAAATGAAGGCATATGTGACTCCAGGCTCCTTATCTCATTGTGCCTTGTTATTGCAGAGGTCTTGCAGTAGTGAATCATCTTTCAAAACACATTAACTGAGATAAAAAAGCAAAGTGAATTAAGAGTGGAGTAGTACTTTTAAATCAACAAAAATCAAGGAGTTTCTGCATTATATTAGAATTGTAGCTTTTTTGTATAATTTAGATTTAATTTTCAGTCTTTTCCTTCTAAGCCATTCTTCACAAACTTTGTTTGGGGTACTCTAAATTTAGTGATACATTAAATATACTACATACAGCATGCTAATAGCTTGTTACTGTATAGTTCAACGTGAAGAGCTAATTGGACAATGCTGATGTCTGCTAGATTTGGAAACTAATTCCTTGTTTTTAATTGTCTTGTTAAATTCATCCTAACTGGTGGCAACTGGCTGCTATCTATCTGTTAATGTTTGACTATTGGAAAAATCATATGGACTTGTAGAATGTTAGGACTGATGCCCAATCCTTCTGTAGCAGTGTACCATCACAGGTTGTCTGTGGGACTAGAACCTGGGATTTCTGCCAAAATAACAAGCTTCCGCTGCTTTCACTAAAGGAGTAATTGTTAGCTACTGGTGGTGGTATTAGGTTCTTTTCTTTGTGGATAATGGATGATTTGACTGATTTAATTAGCGTAGCACAAACTTATAGAGCGTCTGCTTATTATCGTGCTCATCTTTCTGAGTGAAGAATACTGGCTGGGGCTCTCCTCAGACACAAAACACAGCTCTCAATCAGCTAGAAGGATCACTGTGGAGCGATGCTAGGTTCCTCCCTTCTCTCTCTGAAGAGGCCAAGCATGTTTCCACGATACTCCCAGCCTTTTCTGGCTTGAGAAACAAACACTGTGACAACCTAACACTAATTGTGGAGAAGGGCATGATACAACACACGACTGCTAGCATTTAAATAGTACACTTTAAATAGTAGGGTTTAATTATCTGTTTCTTGTCTTCAACATGTTTTGGTAGTGAATGGAAGTGGTAATGAATATCCAGAGGAGGCGGAGGAACAGACTTTTATTTTAACATTGGTGGAAATTCCAGCTGACTCGAGAGAGTACCATGACGCATCTATGTCACTAGAACAAGCTTTGGAACCATTGCTGCCAGCCCCCATACTTCTCACTCCAGTGAATACAGGCTTAGCTAATGTGATGGAAGAGCAGAGGTAAATGATCAATATACTACAAGATAAATATGCATTTATTTCTGAGCCTCTCAGGCTAACTTATTGGAGCCTCTAAAGTTAAATACATTGGAACTAACTAAAAGAAGAAATGCAGGAGAAAGCACTACCTGGCTCATTTATCAGCCTCACTAAAACAAGTGAAATGTGATCGTGATGCCGTAAGCAATAAATCAGTTATGTAAATCTGCTATGTTTTAATTTTGTTAAATATTTTGGTCATGTGCCAGCAGCACCATAGTTAGTTTCATCTGAATTTTCTTTTAGTGGGACTCTTGTAAAGTATAGTTCTATATTGACTTGAATATTTCTGGTGAAAAGTAATGGAAATTATAAATCTGAGCACCTTTATATTTTCTAAAGTACTTTGGATTCCATAGCTAAATCACTTTTTCCAGATTTTTAAGGTCTCACCTTTTTTGGAATACTTCGGTGAAAATGACAGAACATGATAAGAATTCTTTGTTTTAATTTTTTCATTCTGTTGATTAATAATACTTTCCTAGAATAAAGACAGACAAAAATATTTAACTGATGTCAAACTAAGCTTACAGCAGTACAGGAAAACAACAAAGGGTTTGAGTATGCCTATTATATTGATCTAATACGGGGTGGGCAAACTTTTTGGGCCGAGGGCCACATCTGGGTGGGGAAATTATATGCAGGGCCGGGGCAGGGGGCTGGGGTGTGGGAGGGAGTGTGGGGTGTTGGAGGGGGTATGGTGTGCAGGAAGGGGTTCAGGGCAAGGGATTGGGGCAGAGGAGGGATGCAGGATGTTTGGGGGGCTCAGGGAAGGGGGTTGGGGTACAGGAAGGGTGCAGAGTGCAGGAGGGGGCTCAGGGCACGGGTTTCAGGAGGGGCTCAGGGCAGGGGGTTGGGGTTCAGGAGGGGTGTGGGGTGCGGCAGGGGGTTGGGGTGCACAGGGATGCAGGGAGCTCAGGCTAGGGGGTTGGGGTGCAGGAGGGGTGCGAGGTGCAGGCCAGGGGGCTTAGGGCAGGAAGTTGGGGGGCGGGATGTAGGTGGGGTTCGGGCACCGGCCTGGCGCCGCTTACCTAAAGCGGCTCTGGGGTGGCAGCAGCACGCACCGAGACTGGGGCAGGCTCCCTTCATGCCTGCCCTGTCCCCGTCCCACTCCAGGAAGCGCTGCGGCCCTTGGGGCGGGGGGGGGGGGCAGGACTATGCATGTGCTGCCCTTGCTGCACCCTCAGGTACCTCCCCCAAAGCTCCCATTGGCCGCGGTTCCCTGTTCCCGGCCAATGGGAGCTGCAGGGGGTGGTGCCTGTAGGCAAGGGAAATGCACGAAGCCCTCTGCCCCTCCGCCCGGGGGCCACAAGGACATGGAGCCGGCCACTTCTGAGAGTGGCGCGGGACCCACGGCACTACGGGGGGGCAATCCCTCAGGCCGGATCCAGCCCGCAGACCCTAGTTTGCCCACCCCGATCTAATATGACAGTGCATATTTTCACATCACAGTTGTTGAAATAGGTCTCACATTTCCATGAAATATTGCAACAAAAAGTACACATAGTAAGTTACAACAATATACTGTAAGTTAAGAGGAAGGGAAATCTTCCTAAGAATAACATAGTAATACACTTTTAAAACTTTGACATGCTTTCTTAATGTATAGTTCTCTTTCCATGTCACAGCATGTGTGAAACCGAGCTCTTAGGCATTGAATTCGCACTGTAAGCTCAGCTGTTAAGCCTGCTCCTCTCTCTATTGAAGATCCTCCCCCTCAAGAAGGAGCCTCAGCCATACAGCTCTGGAGCTCCTGCATCAAGGAATTACTGCCTGTTTGGCCCCTTGATGATGATAGGCAAAATTATTGAGGGCCTGTAATGGAATATGTCTCTCAAGTCCACCTGTATCCTTGTAGGTTCACCCTGCTCCCTTAATTCCCTTCTGTGGCAGGCCAGTTTTGTCCTGGTTGTTCCACAGGACTATCATCCTCCCCCAAGGGTGTGCAGTGGAAATCTAATAGAGACGAGGCTGCAAGTATAAATACCTCAAGCATCTAGAATACTGTAACCATTACAGTAAAATGAGGTTAATAGTAATGCATGGATTGATTTATGTTCTCACGGAAATGGAGTTTAATTATATTTGACAATTGCTAACATGATTATAGCTGTATCTTTTATCTACTATAATTGACAGGAAGAACCCCATTCCCCTTGGTGGTCAGGGATAGCACAGCAAAATGCAGATCTCAAAATACATGTTTTATTAAAAACGTAATTGTTCTTTTCTACAACTCGCTGGAGCAAAAACATCTTCTAGTATGTGATATTTCACATACAAGTCACCTACTAACTCATAGATGTGTTCATATATGGAACACTTAACAGGCATATTAAGGAAAATATGCTATTAGACTGAGTTAAATGAAATGTACAGTTCAAGCAGAAAATGAAATAAAATGTTAAAAGAAAAGAACAAGACCTTCTTTAAAAAGACTGATAGAAGATGTCATGAGAATTCCTAGTTCCTTGTGGTTTTAAAAAAACACAAACTTGCAAGGCTTACCATCTAAATGATAAAAACCTAAAAGGGTTTGAAGCGGTACATGTTGTAGATAAGAATATAAGCAAAGATTTGTGTCTTAATCATCTTATAACTTTGCTGTATACACTACACATTTGATTTTTAAATTTAATTTTTTTAAGATAGTAACTTTTCACAATGGTAACTTTGACATGTATTTATAAATACAGCAGTGGATCACTGACCACTACAGTTGATAAAGCTGCTACCTCTTTAGACAACTGTACAGGAACAGAAGGACTGCAGAGAGCATCAATAGAGACATTTACTAATTTGGATCAGACATCTTGGAAAAGGCATGCTATTGATATTGAAGAAAGTGACACTCCTCCTGCCAAGCGAACTCCTTCTACCTCAGCAGAGGATAATCTGGCAAATACTTACAAGGTCAGATACTAATTCAGGAAATACCGTTTTATGCGTACTACGAGAGGTATGCATTTGAAGTGTCTAACTGACTTCAAAGTTATGACTGTATTAACTAGATTAATTACCTCATTTGAAATTTTGCCAAGAAGTTTTCAGCAGCAAAATGGAAGCTGTAAGTTGCTTTTTGTTTCAAACAGTGGGAATGCTAAATACTCTTTAGGTTCTAGTTTCTGTATTCACTTTGTTGGGTATACTCATGGGCCCCTTTTTACTTGATATGCTTGCTAATAGTTTCTGTGCGTTCACCAACTTTCACTTTTTTTGATGGTGCACTTGCAGCAGGGGAAACTTCAGGCATATGCTGGTCACGTGGCTGTCTTGTTTCAGAGAAGAGAGCATCATGATTCTTGGAGGAAATTCATTACAGGAAAAAGCTATGTGGCTAGAAATATCCCCACCCCTCTTTACTGGGGCATTAGCCACAAAATGCTAGCTGCAAAGGGAAGCTGGACAAATTTCCCATACTGTGAGGTGACCAAATTATTGGGAGTGACTTTCATGTATTTTTGCTATTGAATACAATATGTTTTGTGGTGTGGGGATCTCTACACTATGTTGTCAAGGACTCCAGTGAGAACCTTGAGAATTCTCCCACCTTCCTTGCGTTTACGCGCTCTGAACTTGAGGCCCCTGTCATGGCTATCTGGTAGTACCCTCGAAGCCTGCTTTTCAATCAACACTAGGGGTCACAAGTGACATGAGGTCCCATCACATTCCTGAGTGTTGAAGACCTTTTCCTTCCTATTATTTGTGCCTAGTTGTTTTAAGATCTGTAAATATATAATAATCTTATTTCTGTACTAACTTTCACTGTGCTTTTTCTTTGAAGAAGAGAAATTGACTTTTAAATGTTGTTTAATACAGGAGTCTTCAGTTAAATCAACACATGCTCCAAGGAAAATTGCTGGTAGGTGAATTTTTTGAGATCTAATGCATATGGAGTCTCTTGTAAATGGTAGCCAACATTAATTGCCGTTTTGCTAACTAATCCTACCTGTGGCAATGTATTCATAAGGGGAAAATTGTCTTCTATTCAATTTAATTGCCAATTACCTGCATTGGGATTAGGTGTCTGGCAAAATTTTGTATATTCATGTTATAATTCAACTGGCTTCAAAAACAGAACTATAGTTGGAGCCTTAAATAAGATGATTTTCATGAATTTTAAGAGCTGCCTCTTATTTGTACATTTCTGAAAGTAAGATTTTTTTTTTTTTATGGTTGGTGGGTTTAAAAGAAAAACAACAACCAAAAAATTAACCAGCAAAAGATACCTCATATATATTGAAGTGACTCCCCATTCAATGTACTTTTTAGAACTTGTGCATAAAGGCCTCAGATAGAAAGAAAGAATTTGTTGTTAATTAGCTGACCTCAGAGCAGAAAGAATTTGTTGTTAATTAGCTGACCTGGTTAGGGATTTTTGCTGTGACCAAATTTAGAATCTGTCTAAAGAACATACCTCTCTCACGTTGATTGGTGCAGTCTTGTTCATACTGAATTATTGTCAATTAGAGGAAGAGTTGTTATATTGTTATTTAAAGATACTGAAACAAAACTGTAAAGTTAGCTAAACAAGGGAGATCAGAATACTAAGCTCTTAAATTGGCAAAGATTTATTTTACTACCAATTTTGCTGTTTTCTGTTTGGCAAATATGTTTCCACCTGTTTTGAATGGAGCAATTAACCGATGATCTGTATTATGCCAAACTATCTTTTTGTGCGTTTGCAATTCTAACCAGATCAGCAGAGGTCTTGTCTTACCTGCTATGAAGTTCCAGCAGAGAGAATGCAAAATGTTTGTGGGACCTTATAAATATAGTGGAGATGCTTTCTTTTTAATATTTCTGTAGTTGAATAAAGAATCTGGATAATACAGGGCTTGATGTGAAGCTCATTAAAGTCAATGGAAACACTTTAAATTGGGCTTTGAATCAGGTCTACAGCTTGCATGCACAAAATGCATCATGTCAGGAATGATAGTCCCCCTCTATACAACTTACAATAGTGATTTTATTTTTGGTCACCTTGTTACTAAAAATATGTGAACATGTTGGAAGGGATTCCAAGAAGATCAACCAAAAAAAAGAACAGGGGACTGGAGGGACTGACGGATGAGGAAAGACTAAAGAAACCAGATATGTGTAGTTTCTTAGTTAAAAGGCTTTAACTGAAAGAAGGATTAGCCTACAAATATTTGAAGGATGGAAACATCGGAGACATAATATTTGAGCTAATGCAAAGGGGAGGGATGTAATTGTAAAAGAAGTGGAATGAAATTGAGGGGGGAAAAATAGTAGATTGAATATCAGAAATTTCCTGACAGTGAGATCTGTTTAGCTCTTTGCACTTCTATAGGGGATTTCAGAGTACTACTTTAAAGTTGTGCAATAGTCTCCCAAAAGAAATTATGGGAGCCCATATCTTGGAAAAAATCAGGGTGATGGGGCCAAGCCCTAGAAAGTATAATAGGGAGCATTCTACCCTATCAGAAGATGGATTGCATGACCTAATTGATCTTTTCCAGTTCTAATGTCTGTGTGATCTGGTAAGGTTTTCAGGCCCAAAATATGAAATATTTTAAAAAATTAACTAGTATCTTTTGAGAAACTTAGCTTGCTCACATTTATTTAAATAACAAACAAAAATAACACTAGTGTCAATTGTAATGCCCCAAAACACTACGTCTTTTAATACCACCACCACACTAGTTTGGACCATGATGTAGAATATAATCACCATTAACTACGCTGTTACCATTCCATGGCTAGAGTATATTATAAAAATATTAAGAGTATAAGTTCAGTCAATGAAAATTGTAAATTTCCCATTTATGCTTAATATTATTTTTTTTCACTTAAAGGGAGAATTTCTGAAAAACTGAAAACTTCCAAGAAGAAAAAACTACCTACCTCTATATTTGTATCTAAAACTGCAGAAAGAGGGCAATCTGAATCCTTTCAGAAATTAGGAACTATACCAGTTGAGGAATCGGCATGCAAGTGTTCAGATGAGTTGGTGTCTGGAATGGACCATGAAGGAAAAGAAGAAGCAAATGAGCAAGAAAGTTTTATGGATATTTGTGAATCTGGATGTTCAGGACATGTTGGGAGCACAGCTGCCCTTTCAAGAAGCCCGATACTAAGGTATTTCTAGAACATTGGTTCTCAGCCTTTTCGTTCTGAAGACCCCCTTCTTATCAGGACTCACACATGGTGATCCTTCTACTTAGCTTTGTGGGAAGAGCAGGATAGATGTAATCCCAGGTTAAAAACCCATACACTAGAACATTGTCCATCCTTTTCTTCAGCAAAAAACTAGAAAGGATCAGCTTTGGAATTTGAAATACTCTAGCCATGGAATGGTAACAGCGTAGTTAATGGTGATTCATGCTGTCCCATGCTTTTCTGGCAATATGCCTCAGTGAACAGATTGCTTGTGCCTATTAAGTATTTGGCTTCTCTATTTACACAGCCAACACAGCTGCCTTTTGTGATGTAGACTCTGTTCACTAGGATCTGGACTTGGGAAAACCAGATTGGTAGCTTTAATAAACCATTTATTTTAATTGCCCCATCCTGTGCTGTAATATACTGTATAAACATATCTGTAGTAGTTAATACGCTCAGTGTGCTCGTTCTGTAAAGCTGTATTAAGGCACGTCACTGCCCCACAGAGTGTACAGTCTAGACAACAAACAGAAGATGCAACATGACTTTTATTCCTTCGTATGTTCCTTCTTATATTTTTTAATTTACCTTTCCCCTTATATTTTAGTTCTATTCCTCTAAGCATCACTTATTTACTCACCATTTTACTTTTCTTACAGTCGTACATTTTTTGTAACCCTCTACTTTTCCCTGTCCTAGTAACATTTACCATTGCCTACTGGCCCCTGATGATTTCTCCCCTCCTCTCATATCATTGTGGTGTGTGGGGTTTAGTTGTTGCTTATTTGTATTCCAGTGTCAACCACAATATGTAGGTGCTGTCCATACATAGAAAAAGACAGTCCCTGCCTTAGAGATTACAATCTAAAAAGTGACTCTGGGCCTTTGCCCCAACTTCTTGGTTCTTGAATTAACATTAAGTAACAGTTCACTGTGATTGGCTGTGCTGATGTTGGTAGAGTGAAAATCTGGTGCTGTTCCTGCTCCAAGGAGTGTCTTCCTTCTGTATTCTGGGACGCTTTCTAGGTTGCCCTTGGGAGAGTGGGATTCCTCCCTCATGTGGTGCATTAGAGGAGGCCTGGGAAATGACACATGAAGGAATTCCCTGCTCCTTTGTGGGTGAGAAGCTGTGCCTAAAGATCTGGGAGCTTATATTGGCCACTCTTGAGTAGTGAATGGTAGGCTCCATCTCCCACACTGTGCTGGCGTAGAGACTGTTGAAGGCTTTTACAGCTCTACGGGGAGCTTTCTCAGGTCTGTGCTGCTTAAATAATCTGGCAAAAATGTTGATATTTTCCAATTCAGAGAATAAAAACCAAAACATATTAAAAAAAACAAAAACAAATTCTGGGGTTGATTTAACCTATTCCAAATTATTTATTTTAGAATGTTTTAATCATCTTCGTATAATTTAGAAGTGTTTACTACTAGATTGTAAATCAAACTCTCATTAAATACAAACAATATTTCTACTCCATTTTCATTAAGCAAGCTGCAATATTATATAAACTGTGAAACTTTATTGTTAATTTTTGTTGTTTTGAATAGGGCTGGCCGAAGACCTTTGGGATTTTTATCTTTAATTTGCAAATCAAGTAATGCTGAACCTGGAGAGGGTGCTAAGGGGAATAGACAGAGACTCCAAAAACCTCTCATAGCTGCCTCAAAGCGAAGTCTGAAAAGACCCACTCCATCTGCTGAGAACAGTACAGACATTCAAGAGTCCTGTTCTCTTCCCTCTACAAGCACGTTGACGTCTGCTGAATGTGAGAATATAGGCACTGCTGCAGTTCAGGTACATACAGTTACCTCTGAACATCATGTCTGTATGAAATGTAAAGCACTACTAGGAGACAACCCGTGTGTGTGTGTGTGTGTGTGTGTGTGTGTGTGTGTGTGTGTGTGTGAAGTGATCACTGTGACATTCTTTTATAGATTTGTGGACTCTTTTTGGTTATCTGTATGCTGTGAAGCTGAACAAAGGACTATGTTGAATGATAGGAAAAACCAACCATAATTACATCATCTTTTTTGAATGTTGGAGAGTCCAACATTTCCTCCAATAACAGCAAAGGCATCTTCAATTTTGGAATTAATGTTTCATTTTATATGAAATTTTATTTCTCCCAGTTTCTGCCTTCACTTCTATCTTAAATCAGGAACCTGAGGTCACTGCTTTGAGCACATAAGATGGAGAGCAGACCCAGGGAGCTGACCACATATGTCTCTAAAAATTCCCCATTTGCTACTTTACCTAAAGGAGCCAGCTGTGTAGCTTTATATTTCCTGCAAAGTGTAGGGGGGAGCCATAACTGAACGGTTAAAAATGCAGCTGCTTGATTACATCCCATCTCATTTGTACTGTTTATTTCCTCTCCCTGAGGAGGAGATGGTGTTTGTTAATATTAAATCTCCCCCGATTCTCTGTTCTGATCTCTTGAGGTCACATTACATTTTCCACATTAAGCAAAACTGAAACAGGACACGTATCCCAAAGTGTCTGCACACAGAGTTGCACCAAAATAACAAAGATTTAGTTATTTCAATGCAAGTTTGTGTGTAGACCAGACCGACTGCCTTGCACTTTAAAAGTGTTTGTGTATGTTTTGACCATAACTTCCAGAAATGTGACTCATGTGTCTGCCTCAGAAATGACCAGGTCTGGCTGGCTGTGAGGTAAGATTTCACCATGACTGTAAATGAGTCAGTCCCAGAAAGATCTGTTGATGGCTCATGGTGACATCTGTTATACCCTGATATGAAGCCAGCTCAGCCTTCAAAGGCCTTAAAGTTAAGACCTTAGGTTTGATAACAAGACTATGTGCTTTCGCCACCAGCTGCAAAGGTGACAGGCCATTAACTTTGTCCTATGCCACAGAAGCAGAGAACTAGATCCCTATGTCACACACAAAGATGACCTTAGTGTCTAAGCACATGCTGCTGGTGTGCTAGACACTCATTAACCAACGCATCACCTTTTGCTGAAGCACCAAGCTCTGTCAGTGACAAGAGAATGAGTCGTTAGCTGATTGTGTTCAAATCCTGGGTACAACTGGTCAGACTTCCAACTAACCTAGCACCAATAGCATCTATGCTACCAATAGTCCAGAAGACATAGCCTTGATGAGGCAGGATGTGTATAGATTTGCTGTCCTAGCAGCTGATTGCCTCTGTGGTTTTGAGATCTGGATGGTCCTTGGTACGCTGAAGCATTGAGCTGTCTGCAGATGAACTATTCTATCTTCAAAATCGTAATGAAAATTAATGTGAATGTTTGTAAAGCACTTTGAATATCTAAAACACAAGATAAGGATTATTGTTTGAAACCCCCATTAAATCTTCAATAAATTGTTCCCAAAGGTGGTTTTGAAGGTTTGCCTTAGTCACTTGTCCTGCCAACATTTCCCACAAACTTGAATGTCCTTCCTGACAAAACTGTGTATGAAAAGGTCCCTAGGCTTTTATTTGGAAATGCTAAATCTCTCAAAGTCCACACAGCTTTTATTACTTGACACTATGTTGTGCTTGTTTCCAAGAGAACCATATCTGATTGCATCTTTCTGCAGCAGCCTGACATCTCTGTTTTGAGGGTTATGTCATCTTATGTTTTGTGAGAGGCATGTCTGCTACATGTCTGCCTCTGATTTATATATATCTATGAAATTTGCAAAGCAGCCACATGGTCTTCTCTAAAAAAGAACAGGAGTACTTGTGGCACCTTAGAGACTAACAAATTAATTTGTTAAGTC